AGCCAAATGCAACCTTAATCTGAAAAAGTGTGTGTGTGTGTGTGTAGTGTGGGGGGGGGACTTAACATTGCTGGTCCCCCACCTTGAAACGTGGGGGGCCATGGTCCCCTGCCCCCCCATGTTCCTTCGCCCATGCCCCATTATCAAACGGGAGCTGTTGGCTGCGGTGCGGGGACTATCCAAGTGCCTCATATATCTTCTCTGCCTACCTGGTTTCCCTCTTCTCACGGACAACAAGCGCTTTGTGTCGATCCTGAACTGCTACACCCTTGACGCGGTGCAGAATCCTCGACTTCAACGGCCCAAGGAGAAGATGGCACTGTTCATTTTCACGGCGATGTGGAGGAAACATAAGGAACACGCCATACCACACGCCCTATCTAGAGCACCTGTGAATGATCTCACTGCGAAAGCTGCCAGACTGGTGGACCAAGTGGAACTAACGTCATTTGACAGGCACGCTGTTGTCCTATGACGAAGACGTGTCAGAACATCTCAAGGACCTTTGACTAGAGGACCTTACCAGACCGCCATCCAGCGACGCGACAGACAAACGGTTGCTCTGCAATGTCCAGAACGGCTGGCCGTGATACAAAAGCCTCTAGACATCGATCTGCAGCCCTACTAAGTGGGCGATTCGCGAGTACCTCGGCCCATTGCCGACACGGCGTCGATGCGGATAAGGCACTGTCAGCCCCTGATCGGCACAGGGGACCTCCACTATTTCAGTGGCCCGCCAATACAAGAGGTTTCGGATGAATATTTTCAGACCCCTGCCCTGTCCTTACTTGGAAAAGAAGTCCCAGGGCCCAGGGCCCAGGCTGGCGCGGAACCGACTTTTCGGTATGTTGGTCTCGGTCAATGGACTCAGATAGAGGCTCACTCCGTGTCCCCCCCCCCCCCCCCGATCGGTGCAAGAGGCCCGCCGACTGACTTTTGAGGTTGGAACTTCTGACTGGGATCCTTTTCAAATGCCCTTGGCTCGCCCTTTAGACCTTTCGATAGTACCCTCAATTGCCAGCCCCCCCCCCCCCCCCAAGGCCCAAAAGGCCCAAAAGACCCCTCAAGACCCTCGGAACGTGGTTGCATCCAGAACCTTGGTAAGGGGGGGGGGGGCAGAGGGTTGACGGGGGGCTACCTGATAGTAAAAGCCACCCCCCCCTAAAAAATCGTCGGATAAGGCCCATTTACTTATGTGGGGATGTTGCTCTTTTATATTTTCATTGTTACCTCCTAAAACTGGAATAAAAGCCACACGCTACCGCTAGACCAATTCTGCTCGAAGTTTATAGTCAATAAGCTAAAAAGATTACGAGTAAAACGTGTGCGTGAACTAAATCGCTGGCTTCATTCATCTTACAATGGTCCAGTGGAATTTTTTTAAACCGACAGAATTTAGGAATTTGTCAGAATTTGTATCTTTACCGTACAGAGATATCAAGGACGCCGCGAATGTAGACTGAGGATCAAAATGGATCAACATTAATGGATCAGTATTAGTATGGTCAAGCCGTGTTTGTCTGGAAGCATTGAACATTAAGATAAGATCGATTAACATAACAACTTATCTAACGTAGTTTTGAGCATGCGCACTTGCACTTCTTAACAACCAAAACCTCGACGCCAGGCGTAGCAGACTCCGTAGGGGTGCCGCCGTTAACACTAAGCCGTGGCCAGCAGGTGGATGAAAATGATGACGCATCTGAAAGAAGCACCTTGCGATAACTTTCGGACATAAGATCTTACATTTAGGGAATATTCGCGCGTCTATTTTACTCGTGCGATTTTTAGAGTGATGACAAAACGGAATGGCTTTCATAACGCCGCGAAGTGGTGCTCGAATATGATGGTGGAACTAAAATACTAAAGATGGAATCTCTATTTTCCGTAATGCTGTAACTGTTAATCTATGCAGAGTATATCTTCAACGTTGTCAAAAGATGCACCAATCCTTATCTTTGAATTGTGCGAATTAATTCTTAAACATGTACAAATACCCTATTTCAAGATGGTCGTTCTTACGCGCACGGCGCCCGCCCCCTGGCATTAATTGCAGTGGCCAACGCCCACCCGGATTTACGGAATCTGCAACCGGGGCATGGCTGACCTTGCTCCCATGATTGCGGGCGCGCAGGCTCAAACATTTCGATGTAATTTGTGTGACCAGTCGATTCTGCAAAAGAATGAACATTCTCAGTGAAACATGGGATGGCCTTGTTTCTTTTGTTAACTGATTTTGACACATTCTTTTCAACACTGATGAGACCAATTGTTTCTGTCCGGGCAAGGGAGTCCCTTGATTAGAACACCGCGGGCACAATATTGTTCCGGTCAGGAGCTGAAGGGCCGTTCCATTCCACCGCGGGTGTCCTCCGGCTGCCATTCTGGTGACACGTGCCGGTTCCCCTGGTCGATCCGAGGCCCTTCCAGGAATGTATCATATCACATTGGTCCGCTCCCTGATGCGGGAGGCCCTCTGACCAGTGCAGTTGGCCCCGGATCGACACCAGAACCCTCACTGGCGCAACAGCATCCCTGATCGCCACGGGTGGTTTAATTATTGGCACGTAAACTCCGGTTCGGCTTAACGGGCCCATGCTGGAATTGTATTGGAGATCTCACCGTTCTGTACTGGGGCCCTGACTGGCACATGACCGTTCTATCACTTCAACGTAAACACGCATAACTTCTCATGTTCCTTTCATTGCCAGAGGGCTCGCACCAACACAAGGGCCCTCTGTCATTCGGGGTCTCGTTCCCGTCCCTTTTTAGCAAGCCTTCCCCCGAACGCTTCGAGGCCCCTTGTTGACACAGAACCATGTTAGACACTGTGAGCCCCTGAATGATGTAGGAGTCCCGACCAATGTAAATTGCGGATCCGGCCTTGTCCCTGCTTGGGAAATGGGGCCCCAGAGCTCAAGCTGACGTTTGAGATTATGGCCCTATGGGTGGGGGTCCTTAATGTGACCTGCAGCCAACCCTTCGGACCATTCAGCCTTCTAATCGGGCCTTTGATCTCTGGTCTCGAGAGACCCTTCGGCCGGCCTTTGGGCCCCCTCAAACACCGCTCCGACTCAGGGTCACTTGCCCGCCACAGGACCCCTGTTAGGCGCTGTAACCTTTGACTGACGCGGGAACACCTCATTGCATCAGACCCCGAGCATTGCAAGTCGAGGGCCCCGACCCCTTTCCTGCTTGGGAAATGGGTCTCAAGGGCTCGGGCGGACGGGAGCCGACTGCTTGGTGCGCGTGGTCTCTGACCGACTCAGTCAACTGCATTATCTCAGTGGTTCCTCAAGCGGTGCAAGAGGACCTCTGACTGATGTTCCACGTCACGACCGTACAGGCCCCGATTCTCTATGTGACGTACAGCCAGTCCTACGGGCCCTCATGTTATCCACCCGGGCCTTTCATCGTTGGTTCCGGTGAGCCACCCAGGCCTCTTTTCGGACCTCATCGAGCACTTCCCTTGGTTGGCTCGGGGCATCTTGCGAGCACAGGACCCTCCACTAGGCCCTGTGGGCTCCTGGCAGCTACAGGGGCCCCGACCAGTGTAAATCACTGTCCCCGCTGATTGGAAGTAAGGGTGCCCACAGCCCCATACCGAAACGGAGCCGACCATGCGGTAATGATGGTGCCTGCCCGGCATAAAGACCCATTTCGATTGACGGCGTCCTCAGTCGGCGCAAAGGGCCCTCTGGCTGTTACTTGAGGGCCCGTCTCCGCAGGTCGGGGCTGCTGAATAAGACTCAGACCAGCTCCTCGTAACCTTTGACCCTCCAATCGGGCCCTTGATCATCCGGCTTGGTGGGCCCTCTAGGCTCTTCAAGCCTTATCGAACACTGCCTCTGCCGACTCGGGGCCCCTTGCCAACACAGAGCAAGGCGCTATGGGGCGCTGACAGTCAATGGGACCCCAGCCAATGTAAACCGCTGGCTCCGGCTTTGTTCCTGCCTGAGGAATGGGTCCTCACGCCCATACCGTCACGCAGCCCGCTGTGCATTACTGGTGGTGTCTGACCGACATATATGCCCTTATCGACTCAGGGGACCCCTGATCAGCGTACAAGGCCATCTGGGTGGCAACGACGTGCCCGGCCTCGCGGGCCGGGGCCCCTAAATGCGACCTCCGACCGGCTTTTCGGGCTTTTCGGGCGCTCGAATCGGGCAATTAATCGTGGGTTCCAAGAGGCCTCGGAGCCTTAGGGGGGAGGGGGGAGCACGTGCCCCCTGTGCCCTTATGCCTCGTGTCCTTATGCCCTTACGTCTACACTATTGCCTCGGAACCAAAGGACTTGGGGCTGGCCATCTGCCTAAGGTGGTCGGTGGGCAAATTGTCGTGCCGCCAATATTTTGACGCCGCTTGACTTTATTTTTTGGAGCCGTTTGTGGTGCCCCTCAGAATTGGATGCATCTTAGAAATGCAGGTCATCTCACCCGAAATGAGAGCTTTAGGCATCTCTCCACCGAAGAAGTCGACCTAGGATTTTGTTACTGTGGAAGGCAAACCGTCCTCTCTGTCTTACATCAAGTCCAAGCTGTTACCAGGACTAAGGGGACGAAATTAATGAAGAAAAGTGCTTGGGAAATGAGATGCGTAAGGTTCATGGGCTCCAGCTCCTAATAAAAGGCAGAGATTCACCCCTGAATGTCAACCATCACTTTGCAACTCATAATTTCCTGATGCAAGGACCAAGGGGCTTGTTTTTACTCGCATAATGCACATAATTGAGATCATGGATTTGATGGCAGCGATCTAGTGTTCTAAACGCCATCTTGTAGGCATGTAATAAACCGAATTCGAAGTTTGTAAGCTGTTGAATTCAAGGTTACTTCAGCAGACATCGAGGTAGTTTGTACGCACGTAGGGTAACAATGTTGTTTTTGGATGCAAATGCTAAGTTTACTGTTTTATTAAATTGTTTTGGCCTTTGAAACAGAGAGGGAAACATGCAACAAGCCAAACAGTCGGATTTCGATTTTTGCCCAGCTCTAGATATGTTCGATTTGGATTAAATTCGGCGTTTTCGGCGGATTTTGTGCCGTTGTTATACAATTAGAGGGGCTAGAAAATAATACCATTTTGATTCAGTTGAATAAGGTGAGTGACAATTTATTCGTGCAAGACTTTATCCCAGGTACGTGCAATATATTGAGTATATTAGTGGTTTTGGAGGCGGTGTGGAGGGGGGGACGCGCCGGGTTTTTGCCGACCAGCCATGTTTTGATAAACAAGACGTTAAGTCACGTAGGTAATCAGTAGTGTTGGCGCACGACAACATACTAGATTGATGGTACATGACCGACTTCTTAACTAGCATTCACCATGCATGTAGTTTTTACCTCTGTGTAGGGTAAACTGACTGAAGTGTGTTTCAAACTACATGGCTAAGAAACTGTTAACAACTTAAGTAGCATTGCTGCTGATTACATTTGGTTGACTGTTATGAAGGGTGTAAAACCTGTTGATGATTTATTTAAAAATGGTAAAAGCAAAAAATTGGGTGCAAATGGCTCATATCAATGTGTTAGTTCATTGCAACATCATGTGAATACAAGTCTCCATAAAGGCAGGAATCTGGTTGTTGCCTATCAAATTATGAAGGTCTGGCAGTTGATGCACAGTAACTTTATCATAAGCAATTTTTATTACTTTTGCCTTATTCACATCATTGCTGTTCAGTCCGTTCTTGATCATTATTGTCAGGTCTGTAGACATATAAAGGCTAGTGTCACTGGGGCTATGGCAATTATCTTTGGTGTTGAAGGAACATATGTATAGGATGATTTTATTTTTATCATAATTGATTAACAATAAATCTGTGTTGTGCATATACTCAAAAAGAAGGTCAAAATGACTAAGGTTGGGCTGGTTCGCTGGGGTATCACTAATTGCTCCATGATATATGCAGGAGGGTTCCAGTCTGCAAAAAAATTGCAAACTTTCTGGCAGGATGTTTGAGGCAGGTTTGATTCTTTTTCAGCCAGCTTCTTTGTTTGGGTATGAAACAGATAACTCAATGCTGGGATGATGTTAAAGGCAACCTGCAATCAAATTATACAATTGTCTGCTAGTTATCCCCACTGTTATGTTACAGGAGAGCCAGAATCATACTGAATTGACCATCCAATGTTTTTTGTTTCATTGTCACCAAATTTAAAGCATTGGTATAGCACACTAGATCTCACAATGTCAATGATGAAAGTTTATAGCTTTGGAGCTACCTCACCTCACTGACCTCACTGTCTATCTGTTTTTTGCCTGGTGTACCTTTTTAGCAGAAGCTGGCATGAACCAAAAGCTTTGTGTTTGCATGATATATTTGTATGGACAATTCAATTTAATTAGTTGATTATTGACTGCAGGGTTTACATGAGCAGCTATCTGCAAAATCAGACAGGACAACATGTGTGCAATTAAGACAGTTATGATGCAATTTAGAGAAATATGACACATCTGGTTGAAGGTTTGCCTGGTAGCTATGGTTTGCTACCCCCTTATTTTCTATACACTGCAGCGTGTTTTCCAGGTCTGCCTGATCTCTGTTCCAGCTCAATACCTACCTCAAGGTACCATGTCTGAAAATGATATGAGCTGTGGGCTGTCTGAAAATTATGTGAGATACCCTAATTGGGAATTTCTTGCCAAAATTGGAAATCTGTGCCATGTATCAATGCCTGGCTCATGTCTGCCATAATGCAATCTGTTTTTTCTATATTTTTGTTCTATATTTTTTTTTGTATTTTCTATATTTGACAGAATAGGGATGCTCCATGCATAGTGCGGGATGCTGAATGATGGGTCACGACATTGCTTGGCTTTTGGACCACTGTTGGATATTATCATATACAAATGATCCAACAGGTTTAACCATGCATGCTTCTGGGATAGGTAAAGCTAATATTTATAATATAGAAGGTTGCACAGCACAAATGTGGATTGATTCATCTTTGTATGCTGGTGCTCCTTAGCTGTTAATATTGGTATAGTTGCATATACCTCTCATTGCTTTTGAAAATACTTTGCACTTGATTATATACTGGAACAGGCACATCAAACTTTCTGCTTGGCAAGCATAATAGCAAAATGGCTATCTGCTGTGTGGCGTATCAAGGTACAAAATAGGTAGCATTGATTAAGTGGGGCAATGGCTTATGTTCACAAAGAAGATGAACAGTGCATGGTGAGAGTTGAAATACAGACATAAGACAATGTTGACATTTGGATCTGCTCAACTATAGCCATACTCAGCAGTGTAGCTTAAAAGTGGTTCATGATTTGAAAAAGCAAGAAGGTTAGCATATCAACATGCAAACAGTAAGAGATCTGTGCAAGATTTAGATTGTAGAGGGTATTTTCAGTCCCTTATTAAAGTTGGCTTGAGGCTATACTCTTATTTCACCATTAACAAAATTGTCAGTAGATTATTGTCACCTTGTTTTCTATGATTGGTTTTGCTGAAGCATCTCTTTATCATATTCATTGCTCATTTGTTTTCCTTGGATCTGTGTATATGAGGCCAAATTTCTGCCATCCATTTGGTGATGGTTTTGATGCAAACATGTCTTTATGATGCCATAGGTGCAAAATAACAAAATCAGACCATGCATGGTACTTTTGAAGTAGCTCTGGCTGGAGGTATACCTTTCCTTCCAGATGTATACTTTTCAAGCATTCAGCATGAAAAATTGGCATTTTCTGGTAGAAGGCACATGAAATTCTGCATTTCAAGCTCCTGTTTAAGAATGTAAATTTGTTAATTAAGCAAATTTGTTATCACTTTGTCTTGTCTCCCACCATTCTGTCTTGTTTCCCACCACTTTGTCTTGTTTCTCACCACTTTGTGTTGTTTCCCCACCACTCTGTCTTGTTTCCCCACCACTCTGTCTTGTTTCCCCACCATTCTGTCTTGCTTGCCATCACTTTGTCTTGTTTCCCATCACTTTGTCTTATTTGTCTGTAATGAAGTAAGCCAATTACTGACCAGAAACCCCATGCTGAGCTGTATTTGGCAAGCAGGTTAGAACATTCCCAGCTGCAAAAATACAAATGATGTTTTCACAACTGTGTGTTGCTTCATTATGTTGGTCATTTTTTAGAAAGCGGCTGTAAGCACTGTATTTGATAGAATACATTTATTGGTATAATTTATGTTCACTGTCTATTTAGCTACATTTCATTATCTAAATCCCGCAAATGGCCCAGCATTTACATTTGCAGTTAAATGGGCCCCACTGATAACTGTTGTTTTTACAGCAGAAGAAAATGTCAAGTATTAGGCTTTATCTATATGTGATGCTGAAAATTCTGACCATAATGGGCCATCTTAAATAGTGCCATGCATTTTTGACAGTGCGCAGCCTCCACCTGTTAATACATTGATTATTATGGGTGTCCTTTTTTGTTTCCTGGATGTGCTGCATCAAACATAACATCCTTTATGGATGCAAGCTGTTTGGCCAATTATTGATCTTGAGGTGTAAAACATCAGGTTATAACTTGTGATGAGAGAAAACCAACAGTATCTGTCTGAGACATTCTAAAATATTTGAGCAAGAAGTTAAGCATGCTTTGCAGCCATGCCTAACATAATGCCAGATTGCTGCCCCCCTCCCCCCCCCCCTGCTTAAGGCAGTGCAACTTACCTTACAATCCCTCCGCTCCAAGCATGAATAAGATATGGATGGTCTCAAGTTGGGGCATACATTTTCTTCCTGTGTGAACCAAAGTTGCAATGATTTTCAAAATAAATCTTACTTTTAATTTACTGGTAACTTGGGGAGAAAAATATTTACAGCATGTACAGCCCCTTTGTGGTCACCTGATGTGATATTTACAAATTGGGGCTGTATAAGCAAAATGGATATGACATTAACAATTGTATCAGTTTCAAGTTGCTGTAGTAGAATACAGTAAATGCCTTTCCATGAAATAGTCTTATAGCCTTTGTTTATTTTGCTGTACGTGATCACCAGAAAATGCAGTTTGACCAGTGGATTAAATGAAATGAACAGATAGAAATCTAGACGAATGTACAAGTTGTTGCTAAATGACCATGTTTGGGTACTAATAACTCATCCTAATGAAAGGTGTGCATATTAATGTTTCCGGTTGGAAACCAACTTTACTTCTTTCTTTGTTGGGCTGTAAAATGTTCTGCCTAACTGAAAGATGGGATAGGTCTCCTGTAAATTGGGTTGATGACTGAAGTCTATCTGGATGTTGGATCCAAATACTGCAGATTTTGAAAGAAATTGTTGACAAAATGAAACAGGTGTGCTGCTTTGACATCCAGAGGGAGCCATCACAACGCCGAGGGATTTATGCAGCTGTTTGTTTGCAGGTGGTGCTCACAGGCATGGAACAGCCTGTGCCTTCAAACATGGTGATGCCACCTAAAGCAGTTCCAGCTACAGATATGCAGGTTTGTCAAATAAGTGTTGGAATATTGCCTTATTTCAGACATTGGATTTCATCTAAAGTCTTGAAATCAGCCATTTGGCCACCTTTTGCAGAGTCTGACTGGCAAGGTCATACTGAATGTATGTGTGTGCATGTTTGTGCATGTGTGCCTGTGTCTGCAGGGCGTCAGGGCCGCGAAAGGCCAGGTGGGAAGAGCATGTCACTGTTCAGAACCCATTCAAATCAGTTGTAGTAATGTGTTGGGATGGTGTCATTGGCATGTGCACAGGTCAAGGGGTCCAACTAATCAATGTAGTGTTGGCATGCAAGGTCGCAATAGTAATACACTCCTAAAAGCAGATACCCACTGAAGTATTTGAAATTGGCTGGTATAAGTGCAGGCAACTCTGGAATCCCAGCTCATAAAATAGACAAAGTTAGACTAAGTCACATTGTTGATGAATATGCCCAAAGTGTGGTCATTATGCACTGTTTTGTGAATAATGACCACAGTCAGCATGGCTGCATGCTGGTGCAGCTTCTGTGACCTATCTGTACCGCCCAAAGTAGTTATTTATGCGTCCTAGTGGACGATTTTCGTGACCAGGTATAAAGAGATGGCATTAGCTACTTTCCCTTGATAAATGGCATCACCATTTGTGTCATGAGATGTTAAACCTACACAATTATTTGCAATGTAGCATTTTAAGTGTAATGTTCTTTTGCGCCTGGATCACTCATGTCAGGACTCAGTGCCATCCGGTGCTTTTCAGTGTTTGCAGTTACCTGTATGCTTTTGATTTGAATTGAATGTTAAAGTTGTTTTTATATGCCTTTGTACTTTTTGATGTACGTGAAATCACAGCTGTAGTAACTAACCCTTACACTGTGACATGGCTAATGTTGCTTTGTGTGGTCTGCTTTTGTCTTACTTGTATTATGAACTCCACCACTGCTTATTTTGTTCTGCTATTTACTTTATTGCTGGGTAGGTGACATGCATTCCCCTTGCAGGTTCTGCCGCCGACGCAGGCTGCTCCGCCTCTACGTCTCCGAAGCCGGTCAATCTGTCGCCTGTCACAAACATCAGAGCCTAGCCACCAGACACAATGCCTCCACCAACAACGGCTCCGTCAGTAACCACATGAAGCCGGGGTGCCACCGCTGACGGCCATATCGTCCCTAGCGTCGGCAGCCCGGCCGCCGGCTGCGCCGCTGCCGGAGGCGACACCGGGCGCGGCGCCTACTGCTGCGCCCGCTCCGGCTCCGGCCCGGCCCCGGCCCCGGCTCCGGCCCCGGCTCCGGCCCCGGCCACGGCCCCGGCCTCGGCTTCGTCCCGGCCGCCCCAGCTCCGGCTCCGGCTCCAGCTCCAGCTCCGGCTCCGGCTCCAGCTCCGGCCGCGGCCCCGAACCCGACCCCGGCCGCGGCCCCGACCCCGGCCCCAGCCCCGGCCCCAGCCCCAGCTCCTGCCCCAGCCCCAACTGCGGCCCCAGCCCCGACCAAGACGGCCGAGCTGCGTAAGCCGCCGCCGCCGACGGTGCCGCCATTGAAGCCGGTGGTGCCAGAGAAGCCGCCGGCCGCGGCCGTCGCCCT